AAAGGAGACACGAAGGAATTTGTGTGTTCTCATTGTGGAAAATCAGGGCATGAAATTGATGCATGTTACAAGCTAATTGGATACCCTGAGGGGTGGGTGTTCCGTGATCAGGCCGGAAGAGGAAGAGGAAACAGCCGAGGAAGAGGTCGTGGAACTGGACGAGGCGGCGGACGGTCGACCATTCCGGGCGGACGAGGTGAGGTTCATGCGGTCCAAGGAGAAGAAAAAGGACTGTCCCCGCTACCAAATTTTGAAGATTTGACGTTTGAACAGTGGAATGCTGTTCGTCATGCCCTTTCACTCTCCTCTACCGAAAACTCACAGAAACTCTCAGGTATCCTGTATCACCTCGTTGGATAATTGATACTGGTGCGTCCAATCATATGACAGGTGATCTTTCGTTATTGTATGATGTTGTGGGAGTGTCTCCTTGTGAAATCGGATTACTTGATGGGAAAAGGGTTGTGCTGTTCAATCTGGAAATGTTGATTTGACTATGACTATGACTTTACAAAATGTGTTGTTTGTTCCAACCTTGAATTGCCATTTGATTTCTGTGTCACAGTTGACAAGAGATATGAACTGTGAGGCAAAGTTCACCAATAATTTGTGCATCTTACAGGACCTAAGTTTGAGGACAACGATTGGTGTGGGTAGACATGAAGGAGGATTGTACTACTTAAAGAAGGAGGGGAGGAGCATGGCGTGCAGTGCTGCTAAGAAGAATACGTTTGATCTTTGGCACAAACGTCTAGGACATCCTTCTTCGCATGGTTTATCCTTAATTCCTGTAGTTTGTTCGAATAAAAGTAGTCATAGTCATTGTGATATCTGTTTGCGTGCTAAACAAACTCGTGCTAGTTTCCCTATCAGTTTTCATCAATCTATGGATAAGTTTGATATGGTGCATTGTGATTTGTGGGGTCCTTATCGGGTGCCAAGTTTGGATGGTTCTACTATGTTTTTGACTATTGTGGATGATTTCTCGCGTGGTGTGTGGGTATATTTGCTTGACTCCAAACGGACTGTAGGAAGTGTTTTTAAGCAATTTTGTGCCATGGTTGAATGTCAGTTTGGGAAGAGAGTAAAGTGTGTTAGAAGTGACAATGGTACAGAATTTGAATGTTTGAATGAATATTTCCTGGAAAAGGGAATTGTTCGTGAGACATCTTGTGTGTCTACACTGCAGCAGAATGGAAGAGTGGAGCGTAAACATCGTCATATACTGAATGTGGGTCGTGCTCTGAGATTTCAAGCGGGGCTTCCAATAGAATTTTGGGGAGAATGTATACAAACGATAGCATATTTGATCAACCGAACCCCCTCGTCCCTTTTAGGGGGGGTTACACCGTATGAGAAGCTTTATGGAAGGGCTCCTGCGCTGACTCACATTCGTTTTTTGGTTGCAGATGTTACGTTCACAACACGAAGCGCGATGGTGATAAATTTGCGCCCAGAAGTATTCCTGGAATATTTTTGGGTTACCCACAAGGCAAGAAGGGATGGCGCGTATATTTCCCGGATACTGGGAAAATGGGTGTATCACGAGATGTTGTGTTTTGTGAAAACGTTTTTCCTTACTTGATGTCCACAGGTGACACGTCAGGTGAAGATGGATCGAGTAGTTCCTCTCTGGTGGATCACTTTGATGATGATGACGAAATACCGGCGGAAGAGCAGCTGGACCATTCCATGAGGAACGGTCGACCGAGGAGAACAATGAGGCAGACGAGCTACCAGCGGTCGACCAGGTGGACCGTCCTGATGTCCACAGTCAACCGTATGAGAAGCAGAAAGACGGACCTCTGGGAGTGCAATCAACGGTCGACGTGGTGGACCGTCCTGATGGCCACGGTCGACCGTCTCTGAGGCAGAAAGAAGATGCTCAGGAACCGTCTCAGACGGTCGACCCCGTGGACCGTTCCACGGGTGGCGGTCGACCGTCCTCTCCCCAGAAAGCAGCTGAGACCTTGGGACGTGGTCAACGGGAAAGGCGTCCAAATGTGAGGCTTGCGGATTATGTTATGCATGTTGCTGGTCCGCATATCGGAGACAAGTGCAGATATCCACTCTCCTCATATGTCACTTATGAGAAGTTTTCTGATAAACATAAGTGTTTCCTTACAGCACTTGACGCAGAAGTAGAGCCTAGAAACTTCAAACAGGCATTCCAGGATGAGCGATGGAGGAAGGCCATGCAAGAAGAAATTGATGCGTTGGAAGCTAATGGCACATGGTCTCTTGTTCATCCCCCACGTCATAAGAAGGCTCTTGGATGCAAGTGGGTGTATAAAATCAAGAGCAAGTCTAATGGAAGTGGGGAAAGATACAAGGCCCGGCTTGTTATACTTGGTAATCATCAGGTTGAAGGTATTGACTACAAAGAAACTTTTGCTCCTGTAGTCAAGTTGACCACTGTGCGAACCCATCTAGCAGTTGCGGCTGTTAAAGGATGGGAATTGCATCAGATGGATGTTCACAATGCCTTCCTGCATGGAGATCTTCAGGATGAGGTGTATATGAGGTTGCCGCCCGGCTTCTCGAGTTCGTCTAATATGGTGTAAATTGTAAAGGCAAGAGAGAAATACAGAGAATTTCCTTCCAAATAATTCTTTCAACGTGATGCCGGTCGATCGTGAATGGTAGCCGCAGAAATTCTTAGGGTTTTGGCTCTGATACCATGAAAGAATTTTTTGGAAGGAAATTCTCTGTATTTCTCTCTTGCCTTTACAATTTACAAGCAAGGCATATATATAGCCAAGAGTCCTAATTAACAAAGTAAAAGGAATCTCTATACAAGGAAACTACCAAAACTAATACATACGAAAATATATTCTAAATATTCGCTTTTCTCTTTTACATTTCTGTTTAGGTTTTGATATTGACAAACCATCATGAACATGGAACAAAATGAGAAGATTCAAAGGCACATCAAAAGCTTTTGAAGGAACAAAAAGCACAAGAAAGGCATTGACGTTTCCAAAGACGACGATATTGGCGTTTTGAAGATGTTATCTAAATATTTAGGTTTTTATTGTAAGACGCTCATTATATTTCTCTAAGTCATGGCTTAAAATAAATTATGTTTTTCATGCATCAAATGAGTGTTTTCATAAATGGTTTTAAGTTTCTAAAACCTGGGTTTTGCCCAAACCAAACCATAACCATCGATTATTGGCGTTCGGTTTTTGGCATTGGTTATTGGCATTGATTTTATCCAAATTGTTTTTGAGTTTTTATCTTTTGTTTTTTCTTCAGGGAACATTTAAAGGTTTTCCAAATGATTAATTTTCAAAAACCATAACCTTCGATTTTCGGTGTTGGTTATCGGCATTAGGCGATGGTTATCAGCATTGGTTTTTGGTGTCTAAATCAACCAAGTGATTTTTAATTTTTTATGATTGGTTTTTACTTCTGGGCATATCCAGATAGGTATCAAACAAAAACATGTTGAAAACCACCTTTCGTTTTTGGTCTTTTGGCAAAAACCATGTGAAACAACATAAACTTAGCTAGCCTTGGTTTTTACTCTAATGGCGTGGTTTTTAAGTTTTTACATTTGGTTTATACATAAAATACTTTATATAAGAGTTTCCAACACTTGGTTTTCATTTTGGAGAACTTTGCTTTTTGACATTGGTTTTTGGCATTAGCTACCAAAACATGGTTCTGGCGTCCAAACCCAACATAGATGTTGGGTGTTGATCATAGATGTTGGAACAACGATGTTGGGCTTTGAACATTGATCTTTGAATAGCAATGTTGGACTTTGAACATCTATGTTTTGGATAGGTTGGCTCACGTAAGTTTTGGGTAGTAGGTTTTAGAACAGCAATGTTCATTGGTGAACATTGATGTTTTCAAATGACCGTTGGGCTATTTAAGACAAAATCTTTCCATTTTTGAAAGTCAATCACCTCAACATCGAAGTAGACTTCTAAACATCGATGTTTTGATGACCGTTAGCCATTTCTAAAGGAAAGTCAAAGGCAAAACAGCAATGTTCAATATATGAACATAGATGTTAGGCCAAAATCCAGTAGACCAACTTTGATTTGATTTTCACAAATCATCCCAAAAAACCCCAATCAACTCCCATCCTTTGCACATCATTTTTGGGTATAAATAGGTATATTTTGGGTCTACTTTTCACAACCATTCCCCACACATTTCATAGCTTTACATTGCATCATTCCATATACTTTTTACATAGCTTTTTAGATCCATTTCTTGAGAAATTGAGTGTGTTCTTGATCTAAATTAGTTTACTCATATTCTACTCTTTAAGAGAGTTTTTATTCTTGAGTGGTTAAGTGTTGTGAACACTTTAAGGGAGGTTTGTTCCCTTGGTTGTACAAAGGAAGGGAATATTCCTTCGGGTTGAAGTCTTGGAGTGCGGTATCTCCGAGCAAGTGTATTGAGGCTCGTAGGACTCGAGTTTTCAGGTTGTAACGGTTTGTTAAGCACCCGTAAGCTTAACGGAAGTAGTGTAGCTTGAGAGAGTCTCTCGGGAGACTGGACGTAGCCACACGTTGTGGTGAACTAGTGTATATCGGTGTGTTCTTTCCTTACGCTTTTTAACTCTGCTCTTTACTTTATCCTTGTGATTTTTATTCCGCGAAAATTTATAAACATTCTCGTGCCTCACTATTCACCCCGCCTCTAGTGAAGGGCACTTATTCTATCAAAGATCACACAAATAGTCAACATATTGGATTTATCTCTATAAAATTTATCCAGATTGTAATATTGGATATCAAAACACATATTATTTTGAACCAAAGCCCAACAATAAAAACAACTTTGATTAATTGAATGATTGTTCATTAATAATTTTAGGGTATGTTTTGGGGCGTTACAAGTAGTAGTAGTAGTAGTAGTAGTAGTAGTAGTAGTAGTAGTAGTAGTAGTAGTAGTAGAGAAGCAGTCCCCCCATTGGCCCAAAATAATGTTTTGGTTGTGATTCATTATTCAAAAGATCAAACTAAGTATAGTTTTTC